AATGAAGTCTAAGAATTTGAGTAACCATGTAATCACAATTGACAATGCTGAAAGACCTTTAAGACTTCAAGGTCAGTAAATAAAAGAAATGAAACAAGAAAGACCCAGATGAAGGATATCTTTGCCCCATATGAAAAATTAACCAAGAAACATAAAAGACAGCTAATTCACCCGATTGTTTTACTATTATTAATATTTCACCAAGATTTGATACCACTCAATCACAACACACTATAGCATTTCTTAATTATTCCCCTCAGCACTTTTGATTGGGTGGGGGTTGGCTCAGGGACAATCTCTAGAGCTCTGGTGCCCAACCTGTGGCTCTTAGGTGTTTAAAAAGCAGCCCACGGGCTCAAGCAGTTGGTAGTGGGAGCACTGATTTGTAAAGGGACCTTTAATAACAGTACATTGCATGGGCCTTGCAGTGTGCACTCTCAGCTCATTTGCCTCATATCTACGAAGCAACCGTAGGCTCATTGCACAAGGCCACCCTAGACTCATTCCACAAAGCAACCTTAGACTCATTCCACAAGGCCACCCTAGACTCATTGCATGAAGCAACCTTAGACTCATTCCACGAAGCAACCTTAGACTCATTCCACAAGGCCACCCTAGACTCATTCCACGAAGCAACCTTAGACTCATTCCACAAAGCAACCTTAGACTCATTCCACAAGGCCACCCCAGACTCATTCCATGATACTTTGTGCGCTTTTCATCAAGTCCTTGCATGCCTAAGGTTGCTACCATTTCTGATTGTTCATATTTGGAGTTGCTGAAAGTGAATGGGGACAATTCAGGATGTACCTATTGGCATGCAGGCTTGTAGCCCAGGAAAGGAACACGCACATGAGGATGACCCTGCAAGGCTCCGTTGTCACGTTATAACTGGAAGTGACTTGGGGAAGAAAATAAACTACTGATTTTGACAGGAAATTAAGTTCAACAAGAATGCAAAGATATGTTATAGTTTTCTACCACTTGGGTTTAGATACCTCTCAGTAATAAGAGATCCTCCCATGCGGCTATGAAACATACACCAAACTGAAAAATAAATATTCACACACAGAACTTAAAAGGAGTTCACTGAATTTATTTACTTTTGCACAATGTTATAATACAAATACAGAAGGTCTTTACATATAAAATCTTGGAAGTCAGGATTGGCTGTTCAGATTTTTTCATTTTAGACTGACAAACTGGGAGGACGGGGAGAAAGAAAAAGACTTATTTCTTCTTTATAGAAACTCATCAGATTTTATAAAAGATCATTTATAAAGGCAGATGGAATTGATTTTTGGGTGGCAGTGTCATTATTCAGTAATAATCACCAATCGGGTTCTGTGTGTGGCAGTGATTGAATGAGCTTCCACCTGCACAAGAAACAACCAGGTTGTGTATTAATGGCAGTGATTGCCCAGCCCCCACCTGTGACAGTAATAGGCAGTCAGATCGAGTGGCTGAGACTGCATTCTAGAACGATAGCTAAAACACAAGCTGTTCCTTATATGAAAGAGCCAATTGTACTTCTCACCACCAGGACCCTACACAACTTGGCAAAACCTAGATTTGAAATGTTGCGTGTTCCTTCGGGAAATCAATTTCCTCCCGTCTTCATTTTCCCAAGAACAAAATGCCCGCTGTTCATTTCAATGACTTTTCTGGCCTAGCCAACAAGGAAGTTACAGGATTACAAAGTCAGCAGTTTGCAGAAAAATTGCTTTCATGCTGCTTGAAAACAAAAGTAGATTTCCATAGAGTGCTGCATGCTTTCATTTTTTGTCTTGACTACAGCAGCCAAGGCACCAGATATGCATGTGCCTGGAACCCAGTACATTACCGTTGATTACGGACATTGATCACTTCATAAAACTGTGCTGTCTAAAAGCAGATTTATCTTTAAAAAAAAAAAAGTCTCACTTTATTTCCTTGAAGAGGATCTGTCATTAATATGAATGACCTCATATTAGAGGCTCCTCCATATGCTGATGATATCTTACCCCCTTTCCCAGCAGGAAGTGAGGAACTTGGCTCAGCTCTGGCCAGGACATGGGAGGATGATAGTATAGTGCTATTGTGAGAATGCTACATGCCCCCATCTTCTGGCCCTTGTAACAGATTTCCCTGGAGACATGGTCAGCTATGAAAAACTACAAAAGAAAATGGAGGAACTTAAAGAGATTCTGTCTCTTTCCATTCAACAAGATGGTGTTGGAGCCTACAGGGGGTTACAGATGTCCTCCTGGTCCTCATGTGACAGTATTCGGGCTTGACAATTGCTTGCTAGGCCCCAGCACTGAATCATGAGAGAGGGTCATATACTACCCCATAACCAGAAGCTTTGGGTATTTTGTGGCTGCTCCATTGGAGTCACGGGGGAAGGCAATAATGGTCAGTATAACTGGATCAGGAGATTGTGGCTGGAAACAGATAAAAAGATGGGCAATGAGAGATTTTGGGGGCAAATGATTAATATTCAAAGAAACATGTACTGAGAGGAAGTACTCTGCTAATTCAGCTTTACAAAATCGTAATTGCCAGGGTGTCCTGCTGATCTAATGCCTTAGAGCTCATTCACAGGGCCGTATGCTGCCAAGAACTGGCATTTCTATGCAACAAGGATGCAAAGGTGTTTGCAATCAGCTTCAGCCAGCGGTCTGTACAAATCAATGACATCCTGATAGTGCCGCAGATACATGGGATTAGGGACAGATAAGGAGCCTCTGGAAGCAAACTGTCTGTGTTCAGGGCCGCTCATCTGTCCTTAATCACATGCAACCATTTGGATGTGCAGTTACTTGTGAACAGCGGCTGATCACACACATCCCTGTTTCTTGGCAGCCCATGTGAATGAGCCCTTAGTGTGTTAATGACCCAGAAGAAGTATGCAGATCAAGTGTCCTGACTTTACCGATGCATACTTATCCCGTTCACTGACTTATGGTCCAGCAGCTAGAATAATCAGAGCGAGATCAGTAATAGCAGCCTGCATAATCCTATCTCTACCCATTTCCTTTTCAACCTGTCAAAAATACCTTTTTTTTATTTATGTGAAGTTCAAACTTCTGACTAAACAGACTCCACTTACACCAATCTCTCCATTAGCTCCTTCATATAAGGCAACACATATTCATGTATAAAATGTATTATAACTCCTGAATCCCTACGCGCTCTGTTTATATGTAAACACAAGTTATATGATGTGTATGCGGATTCTATACACTCATAGACGCATGTTCTGAATATAATCTATAATGAAGATAATTTACACTTTAAACAGACACCTGAGTCAATTTTTCTGGATATGTACACATACAGATGTATGTTTATATACACATTATATATGGTTATAGTTTAGAGATATACGTTCTTTGTGGCTAATGTCAGCCATTATTCAGTCTCTGTCGTCTGGAGGAAATATGGTCATATTGGACAGAAAACATTGCACTGTTTATGGTCGCCGTATATTGGATGTTCACAATTTTACTAAACCAGAAGAAAGCACTTAGAAACTGAATTATTCTGGGCATTAGCCAAAGACATTAACATGATATATACATAAAACTATGGAATATACTTTCTATCAATCTCCAGCAGATGGCTTTGTATGAAGCAGCAGTTTGGAATTTGTTACTATGGCAGAAGCTGCTCCACTGAAGTCTTTCTGACATTCATTTGATCATACTTTAAACTTAAAGAGAAACCTGTAATAAGAGAAACTCAGAGGCCGCCATTGCTGTCTTTTCCTTCTGGGTGTCAAGTTGGCCCTCTGGCTTCGGTACTCTGAACCACTGACCCGGAAAAAGTATGCAGAAAAGAGCTTCTGATTTATTTCTGATTTTCTTGATCTGTAGACTTGCTCTGGGTTAGTAAATCGAAAAGTATTGAAGCTTGAGGGTAGACCGCCAGGTAACTAGCATTTCCAGCAACTGGTACCTACTGTACCTCTCTTGTGGCAGGTTTCCTTTGCCCAAAAACTGAGGACTTAAAGGAAAAGTCCTGTTATAAAAATAGACAGCAGCAAGCCTAATACAAGGATATATACCAGTACTTTGCATGGACAATGCAGGCGTACGCATTACCATTGGTTACAAATCTATGGTGGCAGGTGTGTTGATTTGAACAAAAGAAATTAAAAGGATCCTCTGATGGATCAGGTCTCACCATCTACAAAGCCTAGCTGTGTTCTTATTTGGGCAAGGAAGGCCTTATATACAAATTAATTGTTTAATCTCAGCTTGTAAAGGCTTTGCATGTCTTCCTTGAAGCACCATGTAGTTCCAACCTAGCAATGAGGAGTTCAGGGAGTGCTTGATGCAACTTAAAAAAAGCTTTTTGCATTGTGTAAAGACACAGCAAGGACTTCCACCAAGAAAGCTGCTTGAAGTTTGATAAATGCACTGTAAAAGCATGCTTAGTCAGATCTTCTCCGGACTATCGTTTACAAGCTATGATTGAACAATACGTGTATATAGGAGGCCTGTCTCCCAAGCGACCTAGCCTGGATACAGGTATAGCCTCATCCCACAAACAGTACATCAGAAAGGAAAAGCAGACAAAGCAAGGTAAAAAAGTAAACCCACAACCAGGGCCGGATTTCCCACAAGGCCAACCGAGGCCCGGCCTTGGTGCAGCAGGGAGTAGAGGGGCAGTAGGGGTGTTGAATTCCTATCTCCCGAAGCCCTGGACATGCAGCGGGCGGGTAGTTGTTTTCTACATTGAGCCCTGCTTTGGGCAGCAAGGCTAAATGTACAGCAGGGAAGCCACCGCTTGTTTTCTACAAGTGATCTCTGTGATGTCGTTGGGATCACTTGTATGCAGCCTACATACAGGGGGACGCATTGAGGAACCTGGCCGTGGGGCAGCAGAGAGAGTAAATCCGGCCCTGCCCACAACCACCAAGACTGAGTCTGCTTACCTCCCTAGTAATGGCTGGCCAATAAGATCTCTAGATATCACCGCAAGACAGAACGCAAACATCAGAGTAAACAAAATGGATCAACTCACCTGCACCAAGACACATACTGAACCTCTGCTATTTCTTGTAAAAGACCCTTTTCTCCTATCAATGGGCCACTGACTGAATTCTCCAGGGAATACCCTTATTTGGTCAATTTACATTTCGTAAAGTTAACAAAAACAAAATTAAGAAAATATATATATATATTAAATATGAAATACATTTGGCATTTAAGTTACAATGGTAAAAACATAAAACTACAAAATAGTAAATGGTCACCCCTCTGATTTAAATAAGCATAACCCTTTTTTTTGCCATGAGCTTTGTCCAATGGCAATTGTAGAGTAACCTTGAGATGTAACACAACTTGGCACAGAAAAAAATGAGATGCAATGCTAAACTTCTCTTCTACCACCATGTGGCAGTAGTGAGCAGAGGCATGGTTGTTGCAAGAGGTATAATTTAAAAGAAACCCACTATATATACAAATAAATAAAACAAATGCTCATACCCTGGATGAATAGCCAAAATAGCACCACATGGACAAACTAATGCAAAGTAACAAGGGGTAGGTCTAATGTGGTGCCAAATATTGCATGAATAAATGAGACATCTGCACCTTCTTTATTACATCCTTCACAGACTTTCACATCACATACCTCGAGCCTCCGCTTTACCTACCAAACCCTCTTGCAAAGACAACCTATTATGACTTTCTCTTATCTGCTCAATCCATGTCCCATTTGTAAATTGTTCCCACCAAAAACAGCTTTCTGGAATCGTAATTCACTTCCTGAATCCGACCAAACAATCCTCAGCGCCCTATTATAGAGAAATGCGGCTATTATTAGATTAGCATACAACCCTATTGTTGGTATCCATCAGTACAGATGTCGTCATTGGGGTCACATGATCTCCAGTTATACCCACCCACCCGTTCGGGATCTGGAACCTTCTAGGTTCTGTCGCATGGCTCTATATGGGATACTACTGGTTGATTACTGGTGGTTGTTCCTGAACAAAGTTTGAGTGAAGCATAGGGCACGTTACATTCGCTACAATTCGATCTGGAAAGTCTTCTGCAGTTCATTGGAGAAAGGGTTGGCCAGACGTTGCTGAGACTTGGACTCCAATGCTGCCCACTGAGCTTCAAACTGGTCCACTTCTTGTGCGGTGGAGGCCAGTCTTAGCTGGCTAGGATCCGGGGGCCAAGTACCGTTGGCAGCGTTGTTTAACTTTGGTCCAGACTGGTGAGGCTGGGTTGGAGCAGGGTTGTGGACACTTGTGGCTGAAGAGTGCATTATGCTCGGAGGGAATGGGTTAGTTTTGCTTGCCAGGTTGGATGATGGTACTTGGGTAGCAGAGCAGAAAACATTGGCCACCATCTGGGAAGGGGTAATGCCTACCACTGGAACACTTGGTGTAGGGTATGGTATGCTGTTGGCCATGGGTGGGGCATATCCACCCACTGGAACATAGGCAGCCTGCATATGAGGGGCAATAAACATACTGATGGGGGCAGGAGATGCATCAAATGAAACAGGATAGGCCTGTATTGCAGGTGGTATTGCCATTGGTACAGCCACCATAGGCTGCGACAAGGGCTCTTGATGTTGTTGCTGCTGTTGGGCTTTGGCTGCCTTAGCTACTTCCTCAAGCCAGCGTTCTGCTTCAGATGGTGTACGACGGTGACCCATTTGGACATTAGTAGGAGTTGAGTTGGTGGTCACTGCTTGATCTGGCCACACTGGCATGCCTACATAAAACAGAGATTTAGTTACTTTACTCTTACCCATATACACAGCAACATTGCAAAGTTCAACATTTAGCTTATAGCTGTGAATTTTCCATCAAGTCTAAGTCTAGAAAGCTGCCACATAAAGCTTATAAGAGTGACTTGATGTTTACTGTCTTATCACAAAGCATTTCATGTTTGGGGCTTATATACTTCAGCTACAGCCTAGCAAACTAGATGGTCGTATTATATTAGAACTGAGATTTATATAGGAGAAAGCTTAAAATGCACCTAAAACCAATAGTACTTTTTTTTTGGGATAGAGCAGGGAAGGGTTAGCAGTGAACTTTGGCTGTTTTTATTCTGTTACTGCCTGTGCCCCCGCAGAGCAGATACACCCATTCTATCTGTTCTGGTGTCCATTGTCACTGAGACAAATTTTTATGACAAATGTCAAAGAGAGGATCTCCCCTACCTTGGAGAGATCCCCATCTCCTTTAACGTAACTGTAACCTCTTATGCCACAAACAAAGTAATTTAAAACATCTCCCCAAGGGGACACACAGACAGCAAAAAAAAAATCTTGACAGCAGCGTCATCATCCTCTAGTCTACCCTAAACTAAAAAAAAAGCGTTAGACATACTTCAAAGGAAATATGTCATTAGATGGAGGCTGCCATTGCTGAGCTCCTTCTTCAAATGTTACTTACCTGTCATACTAACCCCTCTGCTTTCTATGCTTTGACTCAGTGACATAGGATAAGTATGCAGATAAGACGTTCGGTCTTCCTGGTCTACATACTTGTTCTAATTCAGAGACTCAGAAAGTATTGAAGCCTTTTGGTCGGTATGACAGCCAGGAAGCTGGCATTTTTAGAAGAAGGTCAGTATTAGAATTTTCCATGTTTCCCTCATGACAAACAGGACTCATATGTCGCCTATCTGCCCTCAGAAAATGTCATTTCTGATTGGTTGCTCTGGGTTACTGCACTTTGCACAACATCAAGATTGTATGCAATGCTTTATTAAATGAGCCCACTGAAGTCTTAAAGTGAATCTGCAAGTTATGAATGTTAGTTTTCCTGACTTCTGGACTGAACCTCATCCACCTGCATGGATCCTGACCAAGAAAAGTGATTGAAATGGTCACAAGAGAGCTTTCATTGGACATGACGGAGGTAATAGGTTCGAGCGGAAGCAAGATGTCTGGGAAGTCCAGCCCATTTCCAAATTAAACTAAATCAGAGAGAGGTCCAGAAAAGATTTAACTGGCCAGTAAAGGTAACAGCAAGTATCTGCAGGTACCTTCTCTTAGAAAGGACGTTTCATTTTTACTGTTTATTAAAAAATGAAAACATCTTATAATCAAATTGTAAGAGAGATTGTATTGTGAATGACTTAATTCACAACCCATTTAGATATAACTAAATATGTTTTTCATACATAGTATATGGCACACTCATACTGGAAATTGCGTGATGAACTTTAAAAAGGGCTTGTAAACCTGGGATCTAAACCCCAACCAAGTGCCACTAAGACAACTGCTCAATGAGAACATCAGCACTATGATGGATGTATATTTGATCACCACCTCCCCCCCATGTTCTCACTTTGTGCTGTCTGTCGAGGAGGAGGGAGACAAGCCACGTAAGGTGGGGTCCGCATCCCATTCCCATTCACATAGTGGTCTTCCGAAGGTTTGTTGTTGAAGGAGCTATTAATCTGGTTGCACAGGTCAGTAATTCCATCTGGCTCAGGCGGTCCTGTGGGATCCATTTCCGGGACTGAAAGACACAGGACTGGATTAGATCAGACGGCTAAAGCTTTCAGTAGATATTAATAAATGCAACAGAAAAATAAACTTGTTTTGGATCAACAGAATTTGTATTTTTTTTGTTAAAGACCAAATTTGAAAGTTGTGTTGTAAGGACTTCTGTATTAGAGATTAGGAAAATGAAGACAAAATGTATACATGTACCAGACTTCTGCAATGTGATGCCCCCTTCCCTTGTATCATGATGTTGTTGTTTATGGTCATCACTGCACTGCCACCGGGCAAAAGTGTAGAATCCCTTTCCTACCACCTGACAGCAGGTATGGCAATGTTACATGAGTCTACATGATGCTTCCTACCAGGCACAAATCTGTTCATCTAGCTGCCCTACAAAATTACATTTTTTAGGCAGATACCTTAAAGCAGAACTATAACCTCAAAAGAAAGCCGGTCATATGACTGCTTTGGCATTGCTTATGTGATCTCAGCTAAAGGATAGGTCAGGGCCTCTGCATTAAACTCTCTTCCTGCACCCCTTGGATGAAATCATCTGGTCATAGATCCAATACTTGGTCACAGGACCAGTACCCAAGAAAAACTGGTGGACAGGTGTCTCCGGGAAAGGTATTTTGTAACTTCAGTTCCGATCAATGAGTATAGGGCAGCAAGACAGGGAAAACAGAAGAATTCAGGTCTGCTTGAAAGCAAACCTGTCAGTCATTCTACAAGAGACCTTTCACATCTATGCACATTTTGAGCATTTTATATGCATATTTATGTGTTTCTATATATATTTCATATGTGCATTTTTGTTCATTTAGGAACACATGTAAATGCACAAAAAATACATTGTATCCACAGGAAAGAATGGGATTTCTACCTAAAATGCATTTTCACTCAGTAAAATGAATGTGTTTTACTGCAGGAAAATGAACAAGTGTGAACAGGCTCTCGAAAGTAAAATCATTGCCTAGAAATAATCACCACAAGGGGCTCTTTATTACCTCCCCTGGAATGAAGGTTCACTCACTGTCCAATGGGAGCACCCTTATTGCCCATCAAGGTGCTTTCAATAGACAGAGAGATGAAGGGTGGAAGCATGCCCAGCCCTAAAGTAAGGAAAGGACCAGCAAAACAAAAATAGCAGGCAGTTTTCAGGCTTTCATATGTGAAAGTTTAAAATGGTCAACAGGTTCTATTAAAGTCTGAGATATGAGGTGACTTTAAGTCAGTTAGTTAAGAAATAGCTGGCCCCACCACCAAGAACAAAATGCTTTCCTCCGCCACTGATGACTCACCTTGACCTTTGTCCTGGAAATTTGTTTTGCGTTGCAGTGTGGATGGGAGCTCGTTAAGCCTCAGCGACAGCTGACGTTTGAAGGGTGAATTCTTCTGGCTAAGAGCAGGGAAACCACGGAAAGATCCTTGTCTTACAAGCTGTTCTATGGGGGCGTGACGACGTGGGATGGCATGCTGACTGCCCATCTCTGCCTTCTCAGATGGGACCGTTGCCCCTTGCAGGGGAGAAGAGTTTTCTAACTGGGCTGGTAATCCGGTACTGGGGGAGGCCGTCAGGGAAGATGCGTTTGATGACTGGCTCTGATTTCCTTCACTTGTGATAGCTGTAAATGATAGATGTTTATTAATTTTTAACAAAACAAAACAGTCACCTGTGATACCGGAGTACATAAATGGCAACAAAGGGACTCTGTATTGCAGCCTGTGTTTTCTAAAAGGTAAGCACAGCAGTAGCTTTTCAATTTGTGACCAGCTCTCTCCCTAACTGTATCTGCATACAACCTCTGTAAAAAAATTAGCTTGTAGGGAAGGGGGGAATATTTCAAACAGGGACCCAACAGAAAAAAACCCCACAAATGGTTAACACCTCCATCATAATTGCTGTTGCCTGTGCTGCAATTGGAGATTGCCCCTCATTTCTTGTACCAGTAGCAACATTCTCAGTGGGACATGTAATGGCTGGAAATCTATATAACAGAGCCACACACAGCAATAAAAGCTAACAGAGAACTATGTGCTCCCGCTAGGTCCATTTATTACACTTAAAGTGATGTTATAGTCAAAAGGTTTTTAAACTATTCCAAATGTCGATGAAATCACTTACAATGGATGCTGTGTCTTGATGTTTAAAAGTCTTAGTTGTTTGGAAAGATGATGACTGTAAGTGCTTGGGCAAAAAATGTAAGGAAATTCTTGGATGGGCAATGTATATTTGTTTGATTTGCCTTCATTATTGAATAAAGTTTGATAGTTTAACCAATTGTGGACGGGCCACTGTATTAAAACACTGGTCTGCTGGCGCATTGTTCTGGGAGGACGTACCCGAACATCCTCCCTTGAATGTGTTTGTGTGTATGCGTCTGTGACCATTGCAGCCGCAGCTCCTGTTGTCATTGACAGCGGAGAACAGTGGCTTTAGGCACAGAGCTGATCAGAACAGATCTGTGTCCTGCGATTGGTTATCACAGTCATCACATGGCAATGTTTACATTGCCAAGCCCTCCGCTTTCTTTAGTCCTGGTTCACACTCAGCATTTTGTAGCGCTTTTTTTGCCCCAAAAATCCCATTCATTTCTATGACCCTGTTCACAGTGTTTTTTTCGCAATAAGCAAAACACGTGCCGCTGGAAAAAGTACAGGAGCTTTTTTTTTTTGGCATATTACAGGTCGTTTTGGCTCCATAGACTGCATAGGATACGCTTGAAAACGCCCATTTGCTGCGTTTTCTGCGCTTTTTCTCATTAGCATTAATGAGCTACAATGTGCTCACAAAAATGCGCTTTTTGCTGTATGCGCATAAAATGCGCGCAAAAGACGCTCAAAAACGTGCATCACAAACGCGCGTTAAAATGCTGTCGCCTAGGTGTGAGCCAGGCCTTACAACAGAGGTAGGGGTGAGTAAAGGGAGTAATGCATGGGTGAGCCCAAAACAGGCTGCAGCAGCTGAAAAATAAATAAATAAATAAAAAAGTAAAATAAAATGTTTAACCCTTTCACCCTCTCCTATATACACTGAGTGGCCAGATTATTATGACCACCTGACGTTTGTAGACAAATTAGCTATAATTTTGCGCTGAAGTTGCTACAGGGCCAGACCATTATAAATGGGGAAGCAGGTTGTTTACAACAGTAGAAGTGATTTTTTCCCTGAAGATATGGGTAAACAACGCGATTTAACAGCCTTTGAACGTGGGATGATTGTTGGCGCTCGGAGCCATGGAGCGAGTATCAGCAAAACAGCAGAATTCGTTAAATGTTCAAGAGCAGCTGTTGTTAAAGTGTTTAAAGACTGGACTGTCAGCCGAAAATCTGGGTCTGAACGTGCGAATTGTGGCCGTCAGCGACTAGTCAATGTTAGGGCAGAACGGAGAGTGGCAAGACTGGTACAAGACAACAGAAGGGCAACAGTGCAGTGTCAGATTCCTCGCATCACCTTTCATCATCTCGTGGAGTCACAAGGCGGCCCAACAAAGTCATCTCGTGGAGTTATCACGTGGCCCAACAAAGTACTGATGGGGTGGTCATAATAATCTGGCCACTCAGTGTATGTTAGCTCCATTCTATCTCTGATGTGTGTTATCTCTTCACCTCCCTTATGGTGCACATCTGTACATTAACCCCTTCACCTCCAGCTGTCTATGACCTGTACATATATCAGATCACCTGCTAGTGTCTACTTTCCAAAAGGGGTAATTTCTGGGATTTTCATACTGTCCTGATATTTTCTACTTTTATGACATGATTTGTAATCCAAAGTAAGAGAAACCGGCTTTTTTCAAATGTTTTGGTCTTTTTTTTAAACTTTATATAGTAAACATTTTTCAAAAAGGCACCTATTAAATACCACTAAAAGGAAACTTTATTTGTCCCCAAAAAATGATATAAAATGAATTTTGCTACAGTGCTGAGTGACGGAGGATTTCTCAACCAAACTTGCAAAACGCTAAAAACTAAAAAATGGCCTGGTAATGAAGGGGGTGCACCATGCAACTTTGAACTTTAAACGCAGGGAAGCTGATCATACAGAAAACCACTAGAAGGAGCATTTACAATGATCTTTTGATTGTTTGCAGTAGTATAAATATGAAAGACAATGTGAATAAAACTGCAAAAATGATGTCAAGGTTACCTTCAATTGCTCCCTAAAAACACTATATAGCTTTCCTTTAAAACAAACTTGTGGACAAGTGTAAGTTATTATTATGGCACCCCGGTAACCTCAGAAAACCAGGCTTTTCTAATACGCAAATGGCATTCCGTTCCCATGTTCAGAGGGTATTGTCTGCCCTCTTTTACCCCCTGCCTTTTAATGGCTAGTTAGGCCTTCCATAATAATGAAGGGCAGGCCAGAGTCTGGAAATGGTTGCTATTTGCATATCAGGGCAACCCCGGTAGAGATGCTCTGCAGGCATGGGGTGACCCACGCAGAGTTTCAATGCAGAATATTTATATTTGACTAGAGAGAAATTGTAAAGATCTCCAAAATAAAAGTATTGTTTATTCTTACTGTTCTGTACTGTACTGTATTATTCTGTACTGTTTGAATTTTAATTTTTAAGTGTTAGCAACTTGTTGAATACAAATAGGACTAGTGCAGAAAATGTACAACAAAATAAAAGTAATGGCAGACACTATTCTAAATTCTAAATATTTTAAACTGTCCGTAATAAATAAAGTGAAAAGCTATTCACCTATGACTGCTTGTTCTCTTCTGGATGTTGATGAAGAAAAAAATGATAGTAGGAACAATTTTGGGCCAGTAACTCGAAAAGCAAAACTCCAGAATTCAGCAGTTTTTCGGAATCGGAAAACAAACCACTATGCACACAACTCAATATTATTTCATCTTCCTGCTGCTTTTGATGCTGAGTGGAGTATTAGGCGAATAATGGCAGTTCGAATGTAGTGTGTTGTAATAATACAATATGGCCACTAGATGCTCCTCAGCTCCATCTAGTGGCCATAATGTAATATTACAACACTAGATACGAACTGGGGAAAAATATAGTAAGAACATTTGTTTTTTGGCATTATTCGCCCAAAACAAATGTGTGCAGAGTCCTGCAAAGTGTTTTTATATAGACCGTGGAGAGAATTCAGCTGTTTTTTATTATAAAATATTACACACAGTGCCAATAGCCCAAATACATGTACAGATCACATAAAAGATAGGGCCATTCAGTTTACGTAGTACATGCTACAGATGTACTAATGTGATGCTCTGGTGTGTAGTCACTCCAAAAGAAATCAATCTTTCCTGCTATTATGAGGCTGTTACTGCAGTGGTGTGACATGTAGGATGTGTGTGAAGGGGGCCAGCCAGTAGCAATTAAACCCTCTACCCCTATAGTAATTCACTGGATCCTAGTTATTTACTCGGAGTATCTCAATAGAACACATGTACAAACTGCACAGTGCCCCCTGGTGTTGTTACACGCTGCATGCTTTGTACTTATTGCTTACAGACAAGCTCTTCACATGTCTAATTTCATCACATACCCCAAAAATAAGAGGCTTATCACTTATTTCAGGACAGCGGCCAGAGCCATGCAAAATCATTCTTTTAGCCATCTACTAACAAAAACATACAAAGCCATCTACAACTCTGCCCCCAGCTATATTACCAGCCTCATCTCAAACTATCACCCAAACTGTCCTCTCCGCTCCTCTCAAGACCTCCTGCTCTCTAGCTCTCTTATCTCCTCCTCCCATGCTCGCCTCCAGTACTTCTCCAGAGTATCTCTAATCCTCTGGAACTCCCTACCCAAGTCTGTCTGCTTATCTCCTACTCTGCCCACCCTAAAAAGTCTATCCCACCTCAACATGTCTGTCCTTTTACTTCTTCCACGAACTCAATCTACACAATTATAACCTTTTTGTATCACTTGCCCCTGCTACTAGATTATAAGCTCTCACAAGCAGGGCCCTCCTAACCCTCCTGTATCGAAATTGTATTGTTACCTGTACTGTCTCCCCCCATTTTGTAAAGCCCTGCGCAAATTGCTGGCGCTGTATAATAATAATAATAATCCCCTCTGAATGTACATCTGGCCCTAACAGGCCAGCGATTTGGGTGCTACCTTCTGTGAAACCATTGGCAGATCTGGACATGTAGGCAGGTGAAATAATCATCAAAGTTTGCATACCCTAGCGCCTTCTTTTTATAGTGACGAGTGGCCTCACTGACTAAAAGGAATCTTCAGGAGGTGAGATGAGCAGGGTCAAGCTTAACTTTTACATCAAAAGTTGAAACTTGCATATAACACCAGCCGCCTACCTCTCCGAATGTTCTAATCAATTTGACCTGAAAGTTGACCATTAATTATGCATTTTGTAGTTTTTTTTCCATGGTTTTTCACCTTGTTAGCCCCTACCTTTCTTTTTTTCCTGAACCTGCCGCATTGTCTCTTCTCGGTCGCTTTGGCCAGATGATGAGGTAACACGGAAGGAACCTTCACGGGCAAAACTGGTACGACTGGCATCAAAGGATGCAGTGACTCCGCACTCTTTCTCCCGCTTTTGCTTTCGTTCCAGGCAAGCCGCAAATGCACAGCCAACAGCGTGACTCAGGCGCTCCCCCTGTTACGGAGGGATAAGGGGTACACGGTCACATGATAATGTACGGCATTCATATGAAGCCCTCTGTACATTCTCTATACATATTAAAGTAGATCTAAACACATTCACAAAAATCTCACACACAGTTTAATGCAGTAATGTCATCCTAAAAGTGGTTCTCAATCTTTTTATATCTTTTTTTCATTGTTAAAATAATACCTGGTGATCTTGCCATAAAGGTCCTTGTCCAAGCACTTCATGAAAACTGTGGCTTTGATATCTATCTATATCTATTTTCTATGTTTATAGAGGTACAGTGGGGGGAATTTATCAAAACTGGAACAGAAAGAAGCTGGAGCAGTTGCCTATGGCAACCAATCAGCTTCTCTCTTCAGTTTGCTCAGTTGAGATTTGAAAATGAGCGATAGAAGCTGATTGGTTGCCATGCAAATCTGCTCCAGTTTTTGTCTACTCCAGTTTTGATAAATTCCACTCTACACATGTTCTGTATTGATATGTAATACAAAGTGCCCCGTGGTATTGTTACTATGGTCATTTTAATAAGAATTGTTTTTGTTTTAGATAAGGAATATTATTAAAGGAGAACTATGGGGTTAAGGCTTTTCCACACAGTTCTCCTTAGTTCTAACTAGCATCCTCCCGTCACCCTAGGCTCAGTATACCGCGAGCTGTAGCTCGCGATATACGGAGACGTTGCAGTATACTGCGAGCTGCTGCTCGCGGCATACTGAGACGCCGCAGCTGAAGCGGATCCCGACAATTGTGCCGGTATCCGCCTAGCTGCGTGACTGACAGCTGGCTCTGCCTATCTAGAGGCAGAGCCAGCAGTACCCACCCCCTCCCCCGTCCGTTCTGCCAGTCAGCGCTGGCGGATCGGAGCGGGGGGAATCCAGCCCCTCCCCTGTCACGGCAGAGAGCCGTGACAGGATCGAGAAGTGAGCGAGCGACGGTATGTGTTTGCTCACTTCCCGATCTACTGAGCCGACCTGTGACAGTCTCATTGTCACAGGTCGGCTAGAACTATGAGGTGAGTGAAAAGCACTCACCTCATAGTTCTCCTTTAATATATGACAAATGATCCTAACGCTTAACAAATTATATCTTTGCAATGGAATTAGAGAGGATTAGTATATACTACTTATCAAATAAAGGGCATAGATTCCTCATGCACCCATAACAGTGATCGTTCTGTGTTTTCCAGAAAAGTAGAGTTCTTTTATTATTAAATACAAGCATTACAACCATTTGTATGTGCCAATATTCACATTTGACTCACAGAATCTTTCAGGGCCATAAAGCAGTGACAGATCCAGCGTCGCGTTGTGCCATCCCGGCAGATATATGAAAATGCCTTGTCAAAATTGCGGTCAGGGGCGCAGAATGAAACTTTCTCTATGGTCTGATCCAAAATGAGGTCCTTAGAAAGAAGGAAACAAGGTGTAAATGGAGGAGTGGGCAGAGGTGATGACTGTTAAAGTTTGAATTGTGTAAATTCAGACTTATCCGAACTGGTTGTGGTGCGTTAACATGTGCTGTGTTTAGGCAAATTATTATAAATGAGCTGCCAATGTACCACAATGGACCAGGAAACGGACATGAGCCTTTTTTTTCCCACCGCAGCACACCACAATGTACAGTATGCATGTTGTGTGTTTGCTGCCACGTGTTGTACATTGGCCACTACTGTATAGAGCATTCACATGCCGATAACAATGAACATCGCAGCAACACAGCATTGAAGGACACATGCTTTTAAAGTGTGTTGCACTTGCAGTAATGTACCTTAAAACATGTTAGCGCTCCCATTCGTCTAAGCGGACCCTGAAAGTACTATTTAATATAATATCTATAAACACTGAATGCACTGTGTGAGTATTAACATGCAGACTGTCACATTAAAAGGTCCATTTTATGCCGTCCAGGGAAATAATAATTACATTTCTGTGTGGTCTGTACATCATTCTTTAGCTCACCTTTGTCTTATCATCCACCACCCGCAAGCCATCAGCAGAGACCCACAGAATAGCTTTCACAGACTTCTTTCCAAGCTAGACAAGTAAAAATAAATGCAAAATAAAACTACAGAAATCAAACTACAGCTCCATACAGATTTATAATTTATTACAATGGTTACCATCCTGTACAAGCATGAGAGAAAGAGATGTACTATGTAATACAGGGGCGGGCAATTCATTTTCTCAAGGAGCCACATGAGAAACTGAGACTGTTGTGAAGGGCAGAACCAATAGGCTGTACTATTACCTTTTTCAACCGCACTGCACCGCACGGTACCACGCATTGTGGTGCAGTCAGTCACATTGCGGCCAGGGAGGTGCATTTAGGGCGATATTCATATGAATGGCAATGCAACGCACCAGCTGCTCTGTAAAGCGCCAGAACTGGAGTTAAGTTTACTAAGGGTGCATAGTGCATTGTATTGGCAGCCTTTGAATAATCAACATACTGAAGATGTTGCTGCCTGTTACCCCATATTATGCACATATATACTAATTGCATTATTTCTGTTGATGTATTCATTTTTCCACATGTAAAAGGAACTTTTTTGATAGCTCTGCACTGGTTTATGAACAAATAGGATTTAGATCATTTAAGGGCTATGCAAAAACTTGTTTTTATACTAAACAATAGCAAGCTGCAGCGTTCCAAAACAAAAGCTGATATGGACATTGGAGATTAATATACTAGAAAACTGTCCAGCTTATATTTTGAAATAAAACAAATAAATTAATTCATTTTTACTACAGGGAATACAAAGAAATTAATTTAAAATGGTACAAAAGAAGAATAACGGCAGCAATCCCCAGCAACCAATGAGATTTTTTACAAGTATACTCCTGAAAGCTTATCTGTGATTAGTTGTTGTGTGGTACCGCTGAACAAGGCGACACGATATTATACTAAGCCTGCAGTGTTGCCGACTCTTTCATGTACATTTCTGGGAAATTTCCTAATTCCTCACACAAAGGCAGCCTTTCATCTTATCTTCAGAGAACCCATAGCTACAGATTTCCTGGTCTTCTAATTCCCTCTGTGCAGCCCATACTTCTTATGCAAATATATTTATTGGTGTCACTTCAGGTTCTTCAAAGGAATGGCTGCTGACATGCAAAGGATGGCCGGGGAGATGGCAGGCTTCAGAATCTCCCTTCATGGCTGGCCTGTGTTAGTCAGTCTGACTTACCCCCCACTTAATCCTTTCTCATTAAATTATAAATTCCATACTGAGTAGTCACACCATCAATTTACTTTTCTCACCAATTTGAGCTTCTTGACAGCATCCTCGCATACATGCATGCCTCGCGACTCCTCCACCACCACGTGCCCGAGGTACTATTTACAAAAAAAAGGGACATATTCAAATGAAGCCGCGGGAGACACAAAATAAATGACATGGAATGACATGAAGCACAACAGCGTAGCAGCAATAGCAGATGGACACTAGAGGGCAGTATTGACCACAATGACAACAATTCAACTACCGTACCATTATATCCTTCTTGTCTGATGCTCTGCACAGTATATTTTATTGATGCGTTATATAGTATAGCCCCATTATCTTCCTAAGTGCTATATAAAGTGATATAGACATGGTCAAGTAATAATATTCATTGTTTCTCTTTGTTGAGCTCTCTCTCTCTCTCTCTATATATATATATATA